ATTTGTTCATTTTTGAAAAAGTTATGGCAGTTTTAAGTACAAAAAACATCCCGATAAAATGTAATTTTTATCGCAAACATTACATTTTTTTAAAAATTTACGACAGCCATTTGCACATAGAATATAAGATGTCGGGAAAAATTTTTTTTTTTCATTTGATAGTATATAACATAACCTTTGATTTGATATATGTTTAAAGGACGCAGTATTTCCGGAACATTTTCAAAAGTTCAGTTGAAAAAGTTCTATGTTTTTTACAATATTTTAAGTTTTGAACGCCCCCTATATAAGGGGAAATTGTCCAATTTTAATAAAAAGTATGTCAAATGAAAGATGTACTTATAATGTATTTAGAAAAAAAAAATTTGTGCTGATATATACATTTTTCAAAAAGTTATAGCATTTTTAAGTTGAAAATTTAAAATCGAAAATCGAAAATTTTAACACAAAAATAGTGTTTTTTTAACTACGGCAGCCGTTTAAATGTAGAAAAAAAAGTGTCGGGACAAATTTTTTTTTTTCATTTTGTAGTACATAAAATAAGCTTTAATTTGATATATGTTTAAAGGACGCAGTATTTCCGGAACATGTTCAATAATTAAGTTGAAAAAGTTAATTTTTGTAAAAAAGTTGCCATTTTAAATCCCCCCCAATGAGCAGGTTAAGTGATAGATTTTCAAAAAAATGATATCAAATGAAAGGTAGATATCTAAGGTTTTAGTTTAAAAAAAAATTATGTTGATTTGTTGATTTTTGAAAAAGTTACGGCAGTTTTAGTAAAAAAAATTGAAAAAATTTCGAAAATTAGCGATTTTTAAATTTGTAATTTTTTTGGAGGTTTCCCCCATTTACGGAGAACGAGGGAAATTTTTTCAATTTTTAAGTGTAATATCTTCAACTAGATACGATTTGTGATCTTTTGACGTATCATTGAAAGAAATCGGTTCGGTGAGAGCTGAGAAAAAGTGGCAACAGACATAAAAAAAAAACACACATCATAGTAAAATTAATATCTTCTCCGCTTCGCATCGTAGCTAAAAACACAAATATGTAAACAAACATGGCACATATAATGATTGCTACATGAAAACATTTAGATTTATGCCTATAAAAACTATCAGTTTTTGTTTTAAAAGTAAGACTTAACCACTCACGTTATAAGAGATCCGAAATTATATTACATATTTTAATTATATTAAAATATAATTAGAATATATTAGCTGAAATATTTTTTCAGAATTATTAGCATATAAGTAGATTTGTCGTACAATTAGTTACTATATGATTTTACTAGATGCTTCAAATGCATTCTTTAGTACTATAAATTTATTTCTTTAAGTTATAGACTGAGTGCATGTGTTAGAAAAATTTATTTATTTGTTTTTAATTCATTTTGTCTATTTACATGATGGTGATTTTATAAAAACATTTTTTTTTTACTTTTTTTTTCACATTGTAATAAATTTCTTTATCGCAGAATAAAACTCTTAATATTAAAGCGGATTAAGGAAAGCATTTCCTGAAAATAATGGGACCTAATAATATTTTTTTTTGGAGAGTTAAAGATTAAGGAAAATGAAGACATTGTTTTATGTCACAGAGAGCCATGGAGAGGTCATCGGATATTAAATTCAATTGAAATGAAATGTAAGAAACTATTTTAGAATTTTAATCAAAGCGTTCTGTTTTTAAGTATTAAACATTCAAATGAGTGTACAGTACTTTAAATAGTAAATTATAGATAACAAAAGTGCAATAGAAGATTTAAAGGAATAGGATCAACAAAATTTTCACAAGTGTGCTTAAAAAATAACAAATTACGGAAGGCCACATTCTTTATTATTTCAGTATTGAAAGAATAATTTAGTTTAGAATTAAAAATTATACTTAGATCCTTTGATTAGGAAACAAATTCGATATTAGAACTAGAAATTGATAGTAATGAAAGTTAATAGGATTTTATATCATGTAAAAGTGCACGAATTTACATTTATCAAAATTTAAAAATAAATGATTTATACTACACCACGTAAGTAGAATAATTATATCTGATTGTCAATAATTATAATCTTATGAAGATTTTATAATTATATTTTTTTGGCGTCGTCAGTAAAAAGAAAAATTTTAGAATTAGATAGTCTCTTATATTTAGCTCTCAAATAAGAGAAAATAATATAATCTGAGATATTATACTTTTGTAAGCAAGGTGGGGAGTTTTCTTTTTTCATAATAGTTATTTTAGAGAAAGGGAATGCCAAATTGGATAGGAATTATTATACTATTATTATAGTAAACATATTTCTTAGAAACAAAAATAGTTGTTAAAGGGTAGTAGAAACGATCAACTACATCGTTTAAATCGAAGGAGTTAATATTATAAATAGAAATTGAATCTCCTATAAATTTAACATTGACATAATCACAATTATTAAGATCATGAATAACATATATCATGAGTGAGTGAGATATAAAACTTCTCATATTTTAACGAAATATTAAATACTGAGTGGTCATTATCAATAGATAATAATGGATCAGTCATTAGAGACAAATAAGTGAAAATTAGACAATATTAATCAAGAGTAATATTATTGAAATTATGTATTAAGTAAAAATCAGTTAAAATCGTTATTTGATTGTTAAATCAAAATATTTATTAGAAAAGGGAATTTTGTTAATTAAAAACCTATGTCATCTCTAGCCTAATAATATATTTATAACATTATTTTTTAAAATTGGTATCTGGGTATGCATATTACTTGATTAGATTTTAGTCCAGCAGTTGGAGCTTTATCAGATGGGTCCGATTCCGGAATTGAAGTACCAGGTTTGAAATCAAATAAACCAGACCAACCAATCCATGTTCCGTTACATTCAACAACCACTGGAGCGACTGCTGTTACAAGACCACCGGCACTACAATAAAAATGTATTTGAAATGTAGCTCAACAAGAATAAAAAGTTTTTGGGGATTCTAATTTATGAAAGATTAATTTTCCATCACCTTAAAAAACTCCCTAGGCTGAATTACATTATTTGTATGGTATAATATTACCATAAATAAAATATATTTATAATTTTGTGTAATAAATCGTAATTTATTGTGTTGTCTAGTAAATCTAAAATACGTGCAAAATTCCAGCTCATCAGATGTCACGAAATTAAAATTAAAATTAAAGATTTGTAGCATAGCGGAAGACAGAAAGAAAATAGAACACGTGAAGTTGAATAAAAGCTTTCAAAAGAGACAGAGTTTATAAATGTAGAATATGTGTTTAGAATAGTTTTAGTCAATTTTAAAGATAAGATGAGAACGATACTATCATACTATAATTGGAAATAATAGTCTTTATGAGAACTCGAACGATATTGACACTAAGATAGTGAATTTTGTACCTGGAAAAGGTTTAGTTGTTAAAAAGACAATGTTTCCAAAAAAAATACACAAATGTATATATTATTAGCCTTGGATGGGGTTCACAGAAACCATATAGATCATATACTCAGAAATTAACGTTTCATGAATTATATAAAAAATGTAAGAATTTTACTACAACATACTGTTTGGATATTGGATGAAACTTGAGAAAACTACAAACTGCAAATTAACAAAGAGGAATAATTATAACTTTGAGAAATTGAATGATAAATGATTTTGTGAACAATATAGTACAAAATACAAGTACAAGATATTCTAAAAAATAGCAAGATGAAAATAAATCTGTAAATGAAACATGTGAACAACTAAATAAACGGTAACACAAATGTAGATGGTATCTGACAGAGATTAAAATCACTATTATAAAAAACTTATAAATGAATACATTGATCTACAAGGATCTTTTATCGGAATCAAAAATATATTTTTTTAAATCAACTATTAGCACTGTTTTCAAATTTGAAATTAGACTTTTTCTATCACTTCTATGTTCTCATATTATAACTAATTATTAAAACATGAGTATTTACATAAAAAAAATAATTAAAACCAAAAAAAAATTGTTTTTAAATTATTACTGACTTCGATTTTTAATTCGAAAAAAGTTATGCTCAAGACACCTCATACTATTTGACAAAAATTTTACACCGGCTGTCGACTTGATATCCAGTGTACCATTTTTTTTGCATATTTATTGTAATAGATCGTAATATTATAGATAGATTGTAATATTTTTTCTCATCTCTATTACACTTATTCTCTGCTCTACTTTCTTATCAACCGTCCAACTCTCTGAACCATACATCATAGCTGGCCTCACAATTTCATACTAAATTTAAAAACTATAATTAGTATTTATTCATATATTATATTTTAAAATCAAAGAACTACTAATCAGGATATAATTAAAGAAATAAGAGTTCATGTTGCTTTTAAAATATTTCACCAATTTCTCTAAAGGAAACACTATCTACAGATTTGCATCGAAGCGTTTCTTATGATAGTGATTTTAATCACTGTCAAATATCATCTATAATTGTCCCAACTATGCCACTTCTATTCTGTGCCGCGACTCCACTGTGCTACAGTTTTTTTTTTTTATTTAAATCACTGTCAGGTTAAATCTATACTGGACTCATCTATAGTTGGGATCAGTATAGATGCCACGTCCCCAATGTGCCGCAACCCCACCTGCTGTTTTTTTTTTATTTTTAATATGTTAAAAATATTCAGTACAAAATGTCATTTTTTACTTATTATTTTGGTTCTTTAAAGTTAATTATTGTGAATGTTAATAATAAAATTCTCATGGAAGCTAAAATTGCAAATGATGCATCTGTAAAGTATCTTAGTATTATGAAGTCGACATCTTGGCTTTAGTTTTATAAAATTAGTGATGAAGCTATTAAGAGAAAAAAAAGGTGTATACGTCTTCGGAGGGAAAATAATTTCATTCTAGGATGTGAAGAGACATAAAACATATTTATAATGAATATTTAGACAGGTATCTCTATATATTCTAGAGGACCTATAATAATTTATGTTAATTAAACAGGGAAAGTTACATTACTATAATTAAAAAAGTTTAAAGGTTTATTAGAACCCCCAATTTTTGCTAAAATAATAAAATTGTTTAGCAAAAAAAAATTGTTTCGTGGATTTGAAACATAGCGATGCAGGATGAATTTTTTTTCGAAGTGAACCAAAATAAACCTTAGTCTGCCGTTACCGACGGGATTTGAATCCTATAATCTATGGTAAATAGTCAGATTTTAAGAAAAATGTACATAATAAAATGGAAATATTTAAAATATTTATCAAAAAATGATTATTTAGAAACATCAATTTTTTAAAGAAAACCATTTTACTTTATATAGAAGGGAATTAGAATAGCTACTTCTGTTTGAAAAGTTAATTTTTTCAACTTAATTTGAAAATGTTACAAAACACTGCAAGCTTTAAACACCTGATAAATTAAAACTTAGATTAGTAATTATAAGTTAAATAAAAAAATAATATTGTCAGTCAAGTTGTCTTTTATATGTAAACAGCTGAAGTTCAAATAAAAAACATTAAATAAAATAATTTAAAGTAGGTTTTTTGAAAATTTAAAGGTAAATAGTCAGATTTATAAAAAAAAAAAACCAGTACAGGGGGTCGCGGCACAGTGGTGACGTGGCATAGTTGGATCAAGTAATTAAAATAATTTAAATAATAAAGTTAAAAATGTAAAAAATAAAATCGAGAATTTTCACACAATAATAGCATTTGTAGCCATTTTCACCATGAAGACAAAATAAAGTCCAAAATTTTTTTTTTTCATAATAAAGTATATTACATTAGCTTTAATTTAAGATATATATAAAAGTGTCAGACTTTCCGGAAAATTTTCAAAAGTTAATTTTTTGTGAAAAAGTTGTCATTTTAAATCCCTCCGTGGGCAGATAAAGGGTTAAAATTATGAAAAAATATACCAAATGATAGGTAAAGACATCAAGCATCTATAAAAAAAAAATTATATTAATATATTCATTTTTGAAAAAGTTACGGCAGTTTTTAGTAAAAAAATTGAAAAAAATTCGAAAATTTCGAGTTTTTTAAATTTGTAATTTTTTTGGAGGTTTCCCCCATTTACGGAGAACGAGGGAAATTTTTTCAATTTTTAAGTGTAATATCTTCAACTAGATACGATTTGTGATCTTTTGACGTATCATTGAAAGAAATCGGTTCGGTGAGAGCTGAGAAAAAGTGGTAACACACACACAAAAAATAAACACATCATAGTAAAATTAATACCTTCTCAGCATCGCATCAAAGCTAAAACCCAGCACAGTGTGGTCGCATTATAGTGAGGACGTTGCATAGTTGGGTCCAGTATAGATTTAATCTGACAGTGATTAAAATCACAATCATAAGAAACGCTTCGATGCAAATCTGTTGAGAATGTTTAACTCTAAGAAATTGTTGAATAATTACAAAAGCAACATCAACTATTTCCTTAATTATATCCAAATTAGTAATTCTTTTTAGTTTTTTTTGTGTCTGTTACCACTTTTTCTCAGCTCTCATCGAACCGATTTCTTTCAACGAAACGTCAAAATATCACAAATCGAATCTAGTTGAAGACATTACCCTCGAAAATTGAAAAAATTTCTCTCATTCCCCGTAAACGGGAGAAATCTCCAAAAAAATTACAAATTTAAAAATTGCTAATTTTCGAAATTTTTGACATTTTTTTTACTTAAAACTGCCATAACTTTTTCAAAAATGACCAAATAAATATAATTTTATTTTTTATAGATACAAAAAGTATCACTTTGTATATTAGCTTCGATGCGAAGATGTTTTTTATAAATTTGACCCTTTACCTGTCCACGAGGAGGGATTCAAAATGACAACTTCTTCACAAAAAATAAATTTTTGAAAGTGTTCCGTAAATACTGACACTTTTATATATATCTTAAATTAAAGCTACTTTATTATGGAAAAAAAAAATTTCGGACTTTATTTTATCTTCACGGTGAAAATGGCTACCGAATGCTATTTTTGTGTGAAAATTTTCGATTTTATTTTTTACATTTTTAACTTTATAATGCTATGACATATTGAAAAGTGTATGGATCAACATAATTTTTTTATGAGAAATAATATTTTTTAATAATCCTTTTTTTATTCGACATACTTTATCTTAATCAGGATATTAATAAGGAACTAGCAGATTATGTAGCTTTTGGAATAATCCACTAATTTTTTTAAAATTACACACTATCTAAAGATTTGCATCGAAGCGTTTTTTATGATAGTGATTTTAATCACTGTCAGATATCATTATACTTGGTTCAACTACGTCACGTCACCACTGTGCCGCGACCCCCCTGTGCTGGGTTTTTGTTACATTAATTAGAAGGATTTTTTAATTATCTAGACCATATGCGAAACTTTAATTGCAGATTTGAAATTAATTCAATTTATTATGACTTTCCCCTCAATTTTTCAACATAATTTTTCTATGAGAAATACTATTTTTTAATAATCCCTTTTTCATTCGATATACTTTTTTTTTAAATCGGATCATTTTCCTTAATACAGAGGAGGTTCAAAACATAAAAATGCATATAGAAAGTAGAACTATTTCAACTTAATTTTTGAAAGTGTTCCGGAAATACTGACACTTTTATATATATCTTAAATTAATGCTAATGTAATACACGTTAATATTAAAAAAAAAAATTTCGGACTTTATTTTGTCTTTACGGTAAAACCAGACATCAAAGTTAATAAAAAAAATACGATTCTTGTAAAAATATTCTTTTTTATATTTTTAAATTTATAATGCTATAACGTTTTGAAATGTTTATGGATCAACACAAATTTTTTATGAGAAATAATATTTTTCCCTTAATAATCCTATTTATAAACTTGTATAAATTTAGCATATGTTTAAAGCTTTGAGTATTTACAGAACATCTTCAAAAGTCAACATGAAAAAGTTTCATTTTTTATATGTATGTGTCAATTATTCATGTAATGTACTTAAATAATTGAAATTATTATATGAAGCTTTTTTTATGATAGTGATTTTAGTCAGTATCATATGTCAACTATATTTATCACAACTATATCCGCGTCCTACTAGGCCGCCACCCTTCGGTGCTGGATTTTATATAATAAGATAGTTAATTATAATTATGATAATTATCATATTTAATAATTATTTCTTAGGATTAAAATAATATGAACAAAAAAAAAATGAATCGTTTCAATCTCTATTTGTACCTTTGTTTGCGAATTAATTGACCTTCTGCATTTTTAGCCAAGACAAATGGAAGTCGATTGGAGACAACTATTAGAGGAGCATTGATTTCTCTTTTTTTATTGCTCATACTGGATAAATCTAAAAAATTAAAAACTAAAATTTAGTAATATAGTATTTAATTTATTATTAAATATAAATTGTTTTCTTTTTATTTTGTATTAATCAACTATTAATATGTAACTGCTTATTTACATTAAAATAATGAAAAAATAGAATTATCAATAAAATAAAATTAATTCAAACTGTTTGTGTATATACATTTCATTGTAAATTTATTTACCCTCAAAATATAAATTTTCGAAAGAGTTGTCGATTTTGATTTAATTTTATTTGACTAAATATCGTATGCTTATGAGATAAGGTAGGATAATATCTCATTACATACAATTCATATCCTATTTATGTATTCAGTAGTCATACTGCATAAATAATAAGATAACAATATCAATCATTTGATACAATCCAGTAAAACAATAAAGATAATAGTCATTTAAAATAAAAATTATGGAAATTGAAAATATGATGTAACTGTCATTATAAGGTATAAAGTATCTATCTATTAGTTCACAATTATTAAACTAAATATCTAAATATTGTTTTAGCTATCTAAAAAATATTAACAATATAATTGTTTATTTCAATTATGGCTTTAAAATTTACACCATAATATTAATTATAAGAAATTTATAGAATTTGTTTCGAGACAAACAATTAGAAAAGGTTGATAGATGTTGTGTGCTATTTCAGCCAATAAATTCTACTGAAATTTTTTTTTTAAAAGATGTAAGAGTTTGTAAAAAAATTGAATGCTTGCATTTTTGATTTTGATCTTGTTACATTATTTATTGTATATCTAGAGGATTTTATTTTAAATCTTAATGCATTTTTATAGATAATATTTATATAGTGCTATACGCCTATCTATATATGTTTCATTTATCTATTGTTAATATCTTAAGATAGTTTAAATTTCAAACAAATAATACGTATAAAAAATCATATTAGAATTTACATGTCAATATAAGGAAAGCAACAAGGTAAAAAGGGTAAACAAATTGCAACACGAATCCATTTTTGGTATTAATTAAGTTAACTTGTTTATTAAATGAGATGTTTGTTTTGCAAAATAATATTCATATAATAAAGAATAATTAAAACGAAAAATGTAATAAATTATTGAAAGTTTAAAAATTATATAATTAAATAAAGGCGATCTTGATTACGCAAGTTATAAATACTTTAATTAAATTGAAAGACATTTTTTCCAAAGATATATAAACGTGATTAACCTTTAAATCTTATATTCATATAGAATCAGAAAGGAAACATCTAAATATTAAATTTCCAAAAATATATCAGTTCAAAAATAGAAATATTATATCTAAATTCTAATCTAAAATCTAAAATTCGGAATATAATTATAATTTTTTTTTAGGGATACATTCCTTTCTTAGAAAAAAAATGAATGGCTGATAATAATTATTATTAACAAATCGGAAATACTCTAATTATTAAAGAACTTCTCATTCTTTGTAGTTTAAATTTTTAATAGATTACAATTGTTAATAAAAATAGTAAGTTTCACAGGATACATCAGTATTCATCATGAAATAATAGTATGTAACATATACTATAATATAATAAATTATTTAATTTCTACACTTTTAATTAAAGTTGTCGTCTTACTTTGTCCATTTGTTCTGAACATGTTTTCCTTAATATTGACAGAAACAGGCATATTGAAATGTATATAACAGAACAGCGATGACAAAACTAATTATGATTATTATGGATGAAAAACAATGCGTACCGTCGTGAACGTTACAATTGAACAGGTAACATAAATAAGTCGATGTGTTTATTGGGAAATTTTGAAATTGATAACAATACGGCGTTAAGAATATTAACCGGTTCTTTCTATACTGATTATTACCAACATTTTTTTATTACATGATACTAACAATATTACCGTTTAACAAAAAACAAATGTTATGTTCATTTATAACAACATAAATTAAAATGATAAGTAACAACAAAAACACTTAGCCTGTAGCATTCTCTGTTTCAATTTAAGATAAGCTACTGAAATTTTAAATATAGATTAAGCTCTAATAGCTAAGAATGCTGTAAAAAAATAAGCCCTTAATGTTAAGTCTTTTCAAAATAGTTGCCTTTTAAAATTTTACAGTTATGTTTTTATGAGGATATATGTTATCGGCGTAACATATAGCCTATCTAACATAAATGCATATTAACATATATAAGCGTTGAAGGTTTGTACATCAAAAAAGATCTATAACAAAATCTATCATCCACGTCATAATCTATTTTCACGCGAGTTTGTCAACAATGCATTCCAAAAGAATGCGCTATCATGACACGCTTCTATATCATATAATCAGCACTTTATCATAGAACTTGTCCCTCCCCTTATTGTTTAAAGAAATCGTACTAAGAACGACACAAAGTTGAGCGGAAGAGCCGATAATACGAACCGCTGTGTACACAAAAAAGTACTATTTAAGTATCTTTTTTTGGTAAAAATTCTAAACTTACATGTTTCATAACTTCAATTTTATAGACCGATTTGCATAAAATTAGAAAAAGTATTTCCTAGTAATATTTACAATGTTTTATAGTTATGTGTTATGGCCAAAGAAATTAAGCCGTTTTTACATAGGTTTATATGAAACACTTTCTTGTTCGAAATAATGTTTCATAGTCATTGCTGCACTTTTATTTTTATTACTTAGCCGTGCAACAATCGTTGCACTGGATATATTTATTTATTTTTATTTATATAACGTATCAAGTAAGTAAGTAAACGGGTTTCTAATGGTCTCTTTATTTGTAATAACTGATTTGTTTCCTTACTAACTGAACAACCTATATATATGTTTTGTCATTTCATGGTTTTAATTTTAATAAATTTAATGAAATATAATTAATATTGATAACTAAAATATTAAATTTCATTATACATGAATATATCACTTTGTATTTAATCGTATGTAAATTATACATATAAAAACATTAACATTCAACGAACCGATTTCATTCAACAATACATCAAAAGATCACAAATCGTAAATAGTCGAAGACATTGCCCTCAAAAATTGAGGGGAAAGTCATAATAAATTGAATTAATTTCAAATCTGCAATTAAAGTTTCGCATATGGTCTAGATAATTAAAAAATCTTTCTAATTAATGTAACAAAAACCCAGCACAGGGAGGTCGCGGCACAGTGGTGACGTGACGTAGTTGAACCAAGTATAATGATATCTGACAGTGATTAAAATCACTATCATAAAAAACGCTTCGATGCAAATCTTTAAATAGTGTTTAATTTTAAAAAAAATTATGGCAATTTAAAGTTTAAAACCCAGCACAGGGGGGTCGCGGCACAGTGGTGACGTGGCATAGTTGGATCAAGTATTATGATATCTGACAGTGATTAAAACACTATAAAAAAAAACGCTTCGATGCAAATCTTTAGATAGTGTTTAATTTTAAAAAATTGGTGGATTATTCCAAAAGCAACATAATCTGCTAGTTCGTTATTAATATCCTAATTCAGATAAAGTATATCGAATGAAAAAGGGATTATTAAAATTTATTGTTTCTCATAAAAAATTTATGTTGATCCATACACTTTTCAATAAGTTATAGCATTATAAAGTTAAAAATTAAAATCAAGAATTTTCACACAAAAATAGCATTCGGTAGCCAATTTCACCCTGAAGACAAAATAAAGTATAAATTTTTTTTTTTGCATAATAAAGTACAATACATTAGCTTTAATTTAAGATATATATAAAAGTGTCAGACTTTCCGGAACACTTTCAAAAATTATGTTGAAAAAGTAAATTTTTTCTGAAAAAGTTATCATTTTAAATCCCGCTGATAATAATTATTATTANAGTTATCATTTTAAATCCCCCCCTGTAGGTAGGTAAAAAGTCAGATTTATAAAAAAAATATACCAAATGATAGTTAAAAACATCATGCATCTATAAAAAAAAAGAATTATTTTGATCCATACATCTTTCAAAAAGTTATAGCATTATAAAGTTAAAAATATAAAAAATAATTTTTTTACAAAAATCGTATTTTTTTTATTAACTTTGATGTCTGTTTTCACAATGAAGACAAAATAAAGTCTGAAAATTTTTTTTTTGCATAATAATGTACATTACATAAGCTTTATTTTAATATATATATAAAAGTGTCAGACTTTTCAGAACACTTTCAAAAATTAAGTTGAAAAAGTTCTACTTTCTACATGCATTTTTTAGATTTGAATCCCTCCTGTATTAAGGGAAATGGTCCGATTTAAAAAAACAGTATGTAGAATGAAAGATGTATATAAATACTACTTCTCATGAAAAAATTGTAATGATCCATACATTTTTCAAAAAGCTAAAGCATAATAAAGTTAAAAATGTAAAATACAAAATCGAAAATTTTCACACAAAAATAGCATTCGGTAGCCAATTTCACCCTGAAGACAAAATAAAGTCCGAAATTTTATGATATATATAAAAGTGTCAGACCTTCCGGAACAATTTCAAAAGTTAAGTTGAAAAAGTTAATTTTTTGTGAAAAAGTTGTTCGTTTAAATCCCCCCTTGTGGGCAGGTTAAGGGTTAAATTTATGAAAAAAATATACCAAATGATAGGTATAGACAAGCATCTATAAAAAAAAAAAATTATATTGATAAGTTTATTTTTGAAAAAGTAACGGCAGTTTTTAGTAAAAAAAAGTGAAAAAATGACAAAATTTACCGATTTTTAAATTTGTAATTTTTTTGGAGGTTTCCCCCATTTACGGGGAACGAGAGAATTTTTTTCAATTTTTGAGGGTAATGTCTTCGACTAGATACGATTTGTGATCTTTTGACGTACAATTGAAAGAAATCGGTTCGGTGAGAGCTGAGAAAAAGTAGTAATAGGCACAAAAAAAAAAAAAAATCATCATAGTAAAATTAATACCTTCCGAGATTTGCATTGGAGCTATAACTTATATAAGTTATAAATATTTTAGGTAAATAAGTTTAAAAACTGTCGAAAATTACCGATTTTTAATTTTTAAATTTTTGTAGGATTTTCTGCAATAACGAGGAACGTTCTTAAGGGTGGCCCCTTAATGTCCAATTATAATTTTTCCATAAAATTTACAATATTTTTTGAAAACTTAAGTTTTAAATTTATGATTATTTTCTAAATATTAATAAGAAAATTCTGCACAAATATAAAATAAATATATATATATATATATATATATATATAAATATAATTTTATACATAAATGCTTATACTAGTAAACTCCATAGTACCCTCATTATATTCTTTTTTTTTTTTGTGATAATTACAGTGAACTTTGATCAAAATGTAATCGAATTTATGTATATATGACCTAAGCTACTCAAACAATACAAAAGGTAATTCACATAAGTGAATTACTTTATAACATCATATATGTGTATTAAATATAATATAAACATTTAGAATTTTACTTAAATAGAATATATAAAATATATTATTAAATTGTACTTGTATTAAATAAAAAGAATCTATGCTTAGTAATTCTAATTTTCTAAAACGATACATTTTAAATTATATTATAAACAAATGTATAAAGTATTCATGTTTAAATAATGTTTAGTATATGACACATTTATAGAAGGTAATTTAATTATTATGTATAATAATATATCATAATATATTAAAATAACAAGAGAAATTAGCAAAAAATATAAAAACAATTTTTTGAAGGAAATTCAGTAAACATTAATAGCCTACCTTGCCTAATGTATTATATAATTATTTTAAATTTAATAATTTTATCTTATAAAGGAAATCATTCTAATTAATGACGCCACAATGTTTTAACTATGTAGATATCCTGACATAACTTTTTTTATTCAAATTTAAATAAATTAGACATGATAGTATTTTGTTGAATACTATCTTGAAAAATAAAAACATCCTATTAGTTTGTTTTTATTTTTTTGTTTCGAACAGTTCTTCTTATTTAGCAAAAAATTTCTTACCGAAAATATATTTTCTTTTGATAATAACAATAGTTTCTAAAATTTTAAACTGGACAACTGGCTATTCAAAGATTTTATAATGTACTAATTTTGACATGCCCTTTCAATGCCAGTTTCAGAATTTAAACAGTCTTCCATAGTAAGAATTTGTTTAACATTTCGTAAATTTAAAATTTTATTTAAAGTGGTCGTTACATATACACTTAACTGATTGTTTTTTTAATTGTTTATTTTAAGTCTTTCGGTTCTCCTAATGAACCTAACACTAATTTGGTAAAACTATTAATTACTGAGAAAAAATATTTAAAATGTCTGTAGAATTATCAAGATAAACATTTTAAAGTTATTAAATGAAATGACATGTAAGTTTTCACGAATGTTTTTGTTAAACTGTTCAACTAGCACTGTACTATTAACTTAAAATATTTCTATAATTCAAAAATTAAAACAAAATCCATGAAATAAAGTTAGTATAAAATTATTTTAAATTGAAGTATTTTATTTTATGTATGACCTATATTATATGTTATCATTGTACAATGTTAAATTATGTATTATTATTGTATTATGCAAATGAACAAATTAGTTCTCAAGGTCTAAACGATCATAAATATTTAATGATACTTCATAGAAATAGTATTTCTATGGTTTTAATTATTATTGAAATACTTATTGGAAATATTTACTGTTTTTATTAATAAATAAGTTTCAATATATATATAGGGTGAATAATTATAATTATACACTTTGGGGTAATTACAAATGCATTTACTTAGATAAATGTACAAGTTTTTATTTTAAAATTACATTTAATATGATAGCAACACATTTAAGGACTATGCTTTTTAAATTAAAATGAAATCCATTTAATATTCTAAAAAAAAAAAATGAATTTACTCCATTCGTTTAAATTTACCTTACTTCACTTTATAGTTAAATAAGAAATTATTATTCAGTGTTTTATAGGATATGAATAGTAAAAATCCAACTTGAAATGGTAATTTATATTTCAATAATGTTGGAAGTATAAAAAAAATGTATCAATACAATATGTCCTTAAATATATAAAAGTGCAATCACTATTTAAATCTTTGGTACATTTTTATTTATAGTTGGTGATTAGACACTTCGATTTTCATCAGATTCAAGATTTAATTTTGAGTTAAAAAAAAAATTATTAATAAAAGTTATTTTTTTAAGCCAAGTAAAAATAAAATACAAGTTCAGTTAAAAAAGGATGAACTTAAAACCTGTTTTTTATGACATTAAGTACTTTTAAATATCATTAGTTTAGAATTTAGTAACATTAATTAAAAAATGTTTAAATTAAGCCCATCATAACTACGAAAAAATATTAATCAATTAGCCAATAGTTAAAAATTATCATTAGAAAATAGATTTTTTTTTAAAGGTGAAAACAACTGTACTTTTTGTACTCACCTCTAAAAAATCCCGGAATTATAAATTATATGAATTTTTTGTAAAATATATTATTACTGGTTTATTGAATGAAATTAGTCACCTGCTACTTCTTATTGTGAGCCTAGAGTTCTGTTTGTAGCTGTTGATTATTGTTCGCGATGTTGTTCGTTTTAACTATATAACGCGACTAGAAAACGTGGCGTAAATGCTATCCGAAGGAAAATCTATATATTATTTATCAATATGTAATATACCACCAGAAATTTTCCTACCGTTAATAATTTACGATTAATAGTTAATTAGCTACATTTTGGGGATTTATAATAATACATTGATACGGTATTAATAATATATACGCAATATTGACGTATTTGTTTATGTAGGTACAACAATATTGTAGGAATAGATAACTGCGATAAGCAGATGTTGATGACCGACTGTCTGCTTAAGCACTCGTTGGTTGATCATGGCCACCCGGCGTGCATTGTCGAGTAATCATGACCCTGTTATTAGTAGTTTTGTTTTTAGTGTAACCCCCTCTAATGAAATTAAAAGCAGACATCATAATAGTTAAATTCCTCTCACTACCAACAAAAAATCTAAAGAAATATAGTATATGAAAGATCATTCATCGAAAAATCTAATAAAAACAACGTGCAATAATATATCGGATTATTAACTCTTGATTAAAAATAAAGATTTATCAGATTAAAACTACAAAAAAAGTAACCAGATAACTAATGAAGATATAACTATGATGTTAATTCTTCACTTTCATCAAATTTTTAGAATTTTAATTTATTAAGTGAAAGTTTTAGATAAATCTCTTTCAAATATAAATTTATTTTGTATGTTATACACAGTGTTTTTTAAAATTATTTATTTAAGTGAAATTTCCAAAAATTAAGGGGTCTTTATAGCTTGATAATTTTACCAGGTTATAAAATCTTTCAGGTGTCTAAGAGATAAATCTGAAAAGTTTGAAATGTGGCTCATTTAACGTCACGTCAGTAACGTTAAATGAGCCAAATTGCCACCAAAGTGTTGATTTCTTATTGTTGTAATATCAAAAAATATTTTGAACTTTAGACTTGGCGCGAGTTGAAGAGTAATTGTATTTATCCGTTTTAAGTTAATTTCAACTTTGACATAATTGTGATTTTATAAAAGCTTTAAAAAAAAATTATATTAATTTATTTTCTACATTCTATTTTATTATATTATAGTTATTCAGTCATGACATTGTATATTTATTAGTGAGTATACACTTAAAAATATTAAGACAAACGTAAGTCCCCACATTCCCTTCCACTTCTTAACAATGGTGTTGCTATCCCCTTAAATAATCATTGCCTGTTAAAATAAGTTCTGGTATGATATAATTGTCAAAAACATCATAATTTAATGACTGGAAAAATTTTACACCGAAAATAAAGATTCTTCGTGTATCTCTACTTTGTAATTGTTATTTTATACATACAATTAATAGCATGTATTGATTTTTATTTTCATATTTTTAAACATCTTTTATATTTAAAATTGTTTTAAACATTTTTTTGCAATCTGTTTTGCACCTCTAAATGAAACAATATGACAATATCAATGTTAGTTATTGATCTTTTGTTATACGTTTTTTTATAAATTAAATATTTTGCCAATAAATTTTGTTCCGAAGAACTTTTAAATATTAAATATTATCACTAACAGCTTTAACATATATATTGTATATGTTACCCATTGTATATTATACAATTAGTATGCAGAGAATGCGCATTTTGGGTACGAGGATAGACAATCTATAACCCCTTATTTATGTGTAGATTATGTAAAAACGAATTTAAAAATACTTTTTAATTAAATTTTTTTATAATAATTCAATGACATAACATTTTAAAGTGATCTATTTAGGTTAAAAATGTTGTTAATATATTTCATCATCTGTTAAAGACAATACCTTGTCATTTAAGCCACTCCTCTCTGACACCAAATTCTTCAGTGATATAATGATATTCATTAATATATATTAATTATATATACCGGATTATACTATTTAGAAATAAATTTTATATAAAACTGAAATATTCTGATTAAGATTCTAAGAAATTATTTACTTTAATCTAATAACGTGATTAATAAGGATGATTAAATATATACATCATAAACTACGAGTTTCTTGTTGGTTTTTAACGCTGTTAACTTCTGAGCATTTTCTTTAGAACATAAATTAACCTTAAAACATTTTATAAAATTGTCTTTTGTCCTTTGAACAGTGAACTCATTAATTATAAGAACCGTTAAGAGTTTATACTTTTGTATACTGTAAAATCATTAGTAGTGATATAACAATGTAAAAAATATTTTATCAAGTAATCATCTTTTATGCTTAAATAGGGTTTAATATTTATTTATTATTATTCAATAATTATATATCTTTCAACTAATTATCAAGCTATTAAATAATATATTTAATTATAAAATTGAGTTGAAGTATTTTTTGTCCTTTTTATTGAATAAACATCACAAAATTTTGATACTAAAATAAAGTAAAATTGTACACATGTTTTTTATGTTTATGAGAGAGGGTGATATTTTGTTTATGATATATGGTCAGAAACTTATATAGTTACTATTAACAACTTATGAGAAAAGCTAAAAATTTCTTTAAAAGTACTATTTTATCGTATTAATAATGAAATAAATCATTTCAATGAAAATCATAGTAATAATTTCTAAGTAACTCTTGGTGTTTATACAATTATATTGTATATGCTAGAATTGAAACATTCAGAACTATATTCCGTATATATATATATACTGTAGTATTCTAAATATACTAAAATTAAGAAATGTTCTAGAATTATAATTTCATCTGCTAATGTGTTGTTGAATTTAATTATAATATATATTTTTTTTAGTTATTTCTTTAGATATTTAGACTCATTTTTTACTTATTAGTAATAATCTCAAAAATTATTCACCTAGCAATAAAACAACTTATGCTCTAATAAAATATAAAAAAAATGATATAAAATCAATTTTCAATAATTTAATCCAATATTTATTTGATTGTTTGTGTATGTTCCATGTAAATTTCAATGATGATAATTAAAAATATATGTTAATTGAAATATGTAGTGTCAATATGATTGAGCCGATATTAATGCGATAACTTAGACACATAGTACTTGTTCGTAATCAAAATCACATGATTAAGTTTGATTAATAGAAGATTAATTTTGAAAATTTGTTTCTATACATTAATGTTAATTAAGGATGGAGGTCTAAAGGGATAACATTTTTAAAAACGTTCTAAATCACCTTGAAATTACATATAATATTAATTTTTAAGAAAATTGTATACATTCGTTTTATAATAAACGTAAGTTTTATCTTTTTATCTTAGTTGACTTTCGTTGATTAAGGAACCATCTTCGTCTTTAAAAAAGTTAATTTCAACTTAACTGACTTAAAAAGTTATGAATATTAAAAACTATTGAATTTAAATCTAATAGAAATGTATTTAAATATAAATAATAAAGTTATTTTTTTTTATTTATAACAGTTTATAAATCTCTAGATGCAGCCAATTTTTTAAAGATGTTTTGTTTAAATTATAAATAGAATTAATCCGTATCTTGTATAGTGACCTCGTTATACCTAAATCATTAACAGTTAGAAGTATTTAAAACATTTAACCAATTTATTTCAGTTGAAACATAATAAAACGAACAGTGAAATTTAAATAATTGTATAATAATGCCTGTACATACATATAATGATTCACAACTTTTATAATTTTATTAATTTTTTTTTTTAATTAATAAGTTCTATATATAAAATTGTACAAATATTATTTTACCTTTATAAAAAGAACCTATATTGAGTAAATTTGTATTCATAACATTTGTTTAATCTGTACTAATCCCATTAAAATATATTTTTATATAAATTAAGTATTGAATAGTAAATCATATCTTATTATCTAAATACCTTATTTATATAAGAAGGATAAATCATTTTGGTCAGAATAAATAAATACAGTTATATAGTATAGAAACGTTTATTTCGAAACGATTAACGCGCTAATAAATACAATTTTTTTCCCAAAAGTTTAACTGTTACTTTATCCCCGTGTAAAACGACGTGAATCGTCTCGATATGTACAAAATGAAAAAACAATGTTTTTTCAATATAAATGAACATAAAGCGTGATTGTAATTTTGATTTTGTGAGTTGAGGGAAGTTATTGGATTAGAAACATTTACGGTGGACAATTCCTGGGCCGGATTCGTCATATTCTTGCTTGGAAATCCACATCTGTTGGAAGGTGGAAAGAGAAGCCAAGATAGAACCACCGATCCAGACAGAGTATTTACGTTCAGGTGGAGCAATAATCTTGATTTTGATCGTACTTGGTGCCAAGGCGGTGATTTCTTTTTGCATTCTGTCGGCAATACCTGGATACATGGTAGTACCTCCAGACAATACAGTGTTAGCGTACAAGTCCTTCCTGATGTCAACATCGCACTTCATAATGGAGTTGTATACAGTTTCATGAATACCACACGATTCCATACCCAAGAAGGAAGGTTGGAACAAAGCTTCTGGACAACGGAAACGTTCATTTCCAATAGTGATGACCTGTCCATCGGGCAATTCGTAGGATTTCTCCAATGAGGTGGAAGCGGCAGCTGTAGCCATTTCTTGTTCAAAGTCCAAGGCAACATAACACAATTTCTCCTTAATGTCACGGACGATTTCTCTTTCAGCTATAATTTAAAAAATGGATAATTAGAATGGATGAATAATTAATTTAATTTAATTAATTAATGAATAATTAAATGAATCTGGAGTGGTATACAAGAGTTAATTATGACTTGAAGTTACTTACCAGTAGTGGTGAAGCTGTAACCCCTCTCAGTCAAGATTTTCATAAGGTAATCGGTTAAATCACGACCAGCCAAGTCCAAACGAAGAATAGCGTGAGGCAAGGCATAACCTTCATAGATAGGTACAGTGTGTGAAACACCATCACCAGAATCTAAAACAATACCAGTGGTACGACCGGATGCGTATAAAGATAGCACAGCCTGGATAGCGACGTACATAGCTGGGGTGTTGAATGTTTCAAACATAATTTGGGTCATCTTTTCACGGTTAGCTTTTGGGTTCAATGGGGCTTCGGTTAATAGGATTGGGTGTTCTTCTGGAGCAACACGCAATTCATTGTAGAAAGTGTGATGCCAGATTTTTTCCATATCATCCCAGTTGGTGATAATACCGTGTTCAATTGGGTATTTTAAAGTAAGGATACCTCTTTTGCTCTGAGCTTCATCACCTACATAGCTGTCTTTTTGTCCCATACCGACCATGACTCCCTATAATATTATAAATGATTAAACTAATACACATAGATACGTGGAGTAAAATATTGTTTCATTGAAAGAATAATTTGGAGGCCTGATATTTATTATAATAAATTCATATTAATATTTCAATTAAAATTAGACGAATCAACGAGAAACTGTTTAAAAAACAAAATTCTATTTTTAATACTAATTAACGACTGATTAATATTAATCACGACATGCTTTCAATTAAGCCATTTACTTAATTATTTACTTTATTTACTCCTACGTTTTAAATAGATTTAATAAAAATAAAAATTTAAAGGTATATAAATATCTAATATATTTTGTTGTATTCTATTAAAATACAAATATAATAATTTTTAAATTACGTAAGTAAAAAGATGAACTCCGTTTAATAACTTTGTTTAAAATTGATTGTTTATAATTTGAATTTCAAATGTTATTAACCAATTTTATTGTTTCCATATTATAAAAAATAATGAGTTAAAGTCCTGTATTTCAATTGCATTATAAACCTTATTAAAAAAAATAATTAATTAAATAATGAAAGTTAATAAATGTTATTAAAAGTGTTTTGACAAATAATTTCATTATTTTTATTTGCATACCTAATACCACTCAGTATTTTAAGGGAAAAATGATGTATTTCTATGAAAAATAAACTTATAGTAATGAATGTCGGCATGTGTGTAAGAATGAAAAGTAATACAATAATAGATTATTATAAACAACTTGAAATTTTCTAGCTCCCCCGCACAGATATGAAAGGATCAGTTTATTTTTATAACAACTCTATTGGCGCAGGGCCTAAAATGGTCTAGTAGGTGGAGACGCATTCTATTTTTAAATACATTGCCTTTTATGGATATAGAAATAAATATTCGATATTTTTCATTATCCCAAAACTAATAAACAAATTCGAAATTGTTGTCATTATAATATGTGAAATTATTATTCAATTTTTAACTAACCTGATGACGGGGTCTACCAACAATGGATGGGAACACGGCACGGGGAGCATCATCTCCAGCGAAACCAGCCTTGCACATACCGGAGCCGTTGTCGACTACCAAAGCTGCTACATCGTCGTCACACATTTTGCTGATTTGATTTTATTTGCCTAAAAAAAGTATGTGTAAAATAAAAAATATTTAAAATAATTTTGTATTTATTTTTAGTCTTGCTTCACATTTAACACTTATATTTTAGATTTAAAAAGTAAAACTTTTATATTTTCATTTAGTTATTTAATATTAAGTATTAAAATTAATTTTTGGATATAAGTTATCATTAAAAATTAAACATTAAAATCACTATACACTTTTATTAAAAAAAATCAACACTTGAAATTTTTTGACTAAAATGTTTTAAAAATGTCTAAGTATAAAAATTTATTTTCTTACTTGTTGCAATGAAAAAATGTCGGACGGTCTGCGGCTGTGTGGCTGCTGATCCTGTGATTGTGTTAATGAACATGGTATACGCTAGCTCTGGTGGTTTTATAAACGGCTAGGTCCAAAAATATCGTTTGCCGTCCATACATGGCTATGTAGACGGGGGGCACAAGACACTATTTTCGGGGCGCTGCCTCTACGCCGCAGCCCTGCACAGCCGGGCTGCCATATATGGCTCGGCCGGCGACCCTTTAACCATCGCTGTTTCGTCAAGTAAACGTTTTACTCCTACCACGATTTGTGATAGCTGAGTGGATGACAGTAACCCCTTCGTTTTCGTGAGGACCACCTTCACACCGAAGATCGTATCCAAAATTTGGAATAAAAACATTTTTGGTTTAACTTATTTACATCTATTTTTACAGCAACGGCTGCTGGGTCCACACGATTTTCAATGACCCATTATTGTTGCTAAACACATACCGTGGCTTATTTTTACACTATAACTCATACGTACGCAGGCAGTTTTAGTCAAAGAAATTTCATATTGTCCTTAATAGGAGTTTTATATTTACAAAAAAAAAAAATCTTTTTTACTTTATATATACTAATACTCTGAACATTTGTAAATTAAAGTGTATTTGTTTAATAAAATTCTATATTTTGTTTATATTATTTGTTATTAGGTTTATTATAGATTAATAGTTAATTAAATCAATCATCATCTCCTTAGCCTATATTCCAGCTATTTGTGGTCGGCTTTACCTTTCAATGATTTAACAAAAATTTTACACTGGGTGTCGACTTGACGCAACCTCATTACAACTGAGGGAGCCAGTAAGGGGCAATGTGTGTGTCACTGTTGAAGTTTTTGGTCACCCATCCAGAAATCAACAGCATACAGCACAACTGAACATTAGCGTTGAGGTGGCAACAGAATAATTCACTGTGGCACACCACGCCCCTATTTATTATTAAACTAGTATTTACAATAAATATAAACAATTTTCGCTCATCATTTTTTTTCCATTCCTAGAGTTTACATGGCAATGAAAAAATAGAACATATAAAAGAATCTTAAGCAATAATTATTAGTTTAGTAAGTATTCTTTAAATAGTTTTTTTAATATTCTAAAAAAACCTTAATTTGAACAAGTTTTTTGTTTTACTTTCCATAATGTACAACTGAGTATGACTTTCTCACTTATTCTTTATTTTATTCATATTAAAATTTAAAGCATTTGGTTATTCTAATATGACATACAAAAATGTTTAATTCTATACCATTAATCTTTATTTTGAAATTGTTTGAACTTCTGTAAAATAGGGCTACTTTACCCCTTAAAAATAACATTTCACTATAAAAGAAATGCTTTGTATAACAGTTTTAGGGTGTAAGTTCTATTATCTATTATCAATTTTCATTTAGCACAAAATTTTACATGATTTAAGATAAAAATGTGAAGATTGGGGTTATTACCCCTAAAATCTTTTCTCAAACCCGATTCTGATATAGCTTTTAATTACATATTACTTTTTAATATAACTATCTCCTATATAGATATATTTTTCCTTATAATTATTATAAGTGAAAATATATCTTGTAAAATATTTAAAAGTTTTGAAAGACCGTTCAAATAAAATTGTTCGCCTCGCTAAGAAAATATTTGACTTGACATGCTATATATGAAGACTTAAAAGATATAAAAAATGTCATTTGGTCGGTATTTGTTTAATCAAATGACAATCAAGTTTTAATTCATCATGACAAGGCAGCATGGTAGCTGGGCAATTAATTTCTTGATATTTCAATTTCTTCCGTGTTCACTCTATAGTCCGTATTTAGTATCAAGTACTAAATCAACACTGTTGAAAAACTTTTCAAAACTATAAAATTTGATTTTGATGAAAAATTTAAAGATGAAGTCAAATAGTTTATTAATCACGACGTATAGTTTTATTTGGAATGGCTTTCAGAACTTAAAAAATGTTAGTGAAAAAATTTAGACAAGGTAGGTAGCTACGTTTAAAAGTAATTAAATCGTATATGTAATAATAAAAGTCATATTATTTTCCATAAGCGTGTTAAAAAAAAAATTTTCATTATTATTTTTCCTGATCAGTAGAATCAAAATTCCAGTACTGAATAATATGTCAGCACGTAAAGTTTCCTGAAGTGTTTTTATACAATAATATATTAAAAAGAAAAATATAAAAGTATAATATACTTTAAATTACCAGAATAAAGAATTTCTATATTTGAGCTTTTTATTTTCAAATAATTATTTGTCTAATAATGATAAGTTATAGTTTATTGCTAACTTATATAATGCTATAGGCAACGGAAGTATTGGACACCCTAATAAGCCGACTATGTTTTAAAAATATAAAGTATTGCGCGAGTATTATTAATTAAATTAATAAATGCTGTTTTAGGAATACTGATAAAGCTACGATTAACAGTTCTTAATTACGATGGTTTACTTAAAATAGGTGGCTCAAATACTGTACTAGATCTTAATAAATTTTTTATTTCGAGTCTTAACATTTAAAGAATCAAATAATAGAAGATAAGAATATTTTTTTAGATAAATTTAAAAAAATTTATTTCTTGTATTAATTAAAATAAAGTTTTTTTAATACTAAAAATAACTTTTAAGTTAATTCGTATAGTAAGTACTTGCTCATATTTGTGATTTGAAAACTTAATATAAATTGCTATTTAAGTCGACGATGTATATACTTTTATGTATCTATTTCATAGCGGGGGGAATATGAGGATCAATGCCAAAAAATTATGTTTAAAACCATTATATTAGAATATTTATTTAGTTCACAATACAGTAATAATGTGTACATACGAATCCATAATTTAACATTTACTTTTAATAATATTAAAGCTTTAATTTATTAAAATTTATCACCCTAATGATATAACAATCAGTTGTTTTTTCTTAATATGCGACCAACTTTCACATAAAATGAATACTATATTTCTTTTACATATTAACGTTTAAAAATTATTATTTATAAGTCCTTTTGAATTTCAATTCCCTCATATTGAATAATGTAAACAATTTATTGAACGTTGACAACCTCATACGTATTCAAGTAATATCATGAAAAGCATTGATGGCCAGGTGTTGTCTATTAACTAATTTAATTTGAGTTATGTGTTTTTAATTAATAAATTAGCAACTCTCTATCCTCCTGTACGTAGTTTATAATAAAAGGCATATTGAAGCTCAAAAAAGATTACAACCCATAAATTTAAAATTAGCAAAGTACAGGAATTATTTAGTCAATAATAATTGTCCACTTCAAAGATTAAAATTAATGGTCATTAAAATTTTTTATATTTATTTTTTCTCAAATTTTTAGTACAATACGCATCAAAATTAAAAAAAAAAAACGGTAGCTTTTAAACTTTTTAATTGAAAAGGTTGACTTTTGTAAAAATGTTATTATTTTAAATCCCCTCTTGTAGGCAAGAAGGTTCAGATTATATCAAATAAAGAGGAATTACTTCAGGTTTCAATATAAAAAAAATTTATTTTGAATTGTTCATTTTTTAATAAGTTATGAAAATTTTTAGAAAAAAGGTAAAAATTAGCGATTTTTAAATTTATTTTTTTTTTTTGAAATTTCCTCCATTTACGGGGTACGAAGGAATTTTTTTCAATTTTTGAGGGTAGTCTTCAACTAGATATGATTTGTGATCTTTTGACATATTGTTCATTAAAATCAGTCCAGTAAGAGCTGATATTAAGTAGTAACAGATACAAAAATAAAAAAAAATCCCAGCACAGGGGGGTCGCGGCACAGTGGTGACGTGACGTAGTTGAACCAAGTATAATGATATCTGACAGTGATTAAAATCACTATATAAAAAAAAAACTTCGATGCAAATCTTTAGATAGTGTTTAATTTTAAAAAATTGGTGGATTATTCCAAAAGCTACATAATCTGCTAGTTCCTTATTAATATCCTGATTAAGATAAAGTATGTCGAATAAAAAAAGGATTGTTAAAAAATATTATTTCTCATAAAAAAATTGTTGATCCATACACTTTTCAATATGTCATAGCATTATAAAGTTAAAAATGTAAAAAATAAAATCGAGAACTTTCACACAATAATAGCATTCGGTAGCCATTTTCACCGTGAAGATAAAACTTTTTTTTTGCATAATAAAGTAAATTACATTAGCTTTAATTTAAGATATATATAAAAGTGTCAGACTTTCCGGAACACTTTCAAAATTTAAGTTAAAAAAGTAAATTTTTTGTGAAAAATTTGTCATTTTAAATTCCCCCCTATGGGCAGATAAAGGGTCAAATTTACATAAAAAATATACCAAATGAACCTATCATAGACAAGCATCTATAAAAAAAAAAATTATATTGATATGATTATTTTTGAAAAAGTTACGGCAGTTTTTAGTAAAAAAAGTGAAAAAAATGACAAAATTTAGATAGGTAATGACATCATGCATCTATAAAAAAAAGAATTATATTGATCCATACATCTTTCAAAAAGTTATAGCATTATAAAGTTAAAAATATAAAAAAGAATTTTTTTACAAAAATCGTATTTTTTTTATAAACTTTGATGTCTGTTTTCACCATGAATACAAAATAAAGTCCGAAATTTTTTTTTTGCATAATAAAGTAAATTACATTAGCTTTAATTTAAGATATATATAAAAGTGTCAGACTTTCCGGAACACTTTCAAAATTTAAGTTAAAAAAGTAAATTTTTTGTGAAAAATTTGTCATTTTAAATTCCCCCCTATGGGCAGATAAAGGGTCAAATTTACATAAAAAATATACCAAATGAACCTATCATAGACAAGCATCTATAAAAAAAAAAATTATATTGATATGATTATTTTTGAAAAAGTTACGGCAGTTTTTAGTAAAAAAAGTGAAAAAAATGACAAAATTTAGATAGGTAAAGACATCATGCATCTATAAAAAAAAGAATTATATTGATCCATACATCTTTCAAAAAGTTATAGCATTATAAAGTTAAAAATATAAAAAAGAATTTTTAATTGAAAGAGGTGACTTTAAACTTTATTTACGCCAGGATTCATTCTTTTCGAAAATGAATTTTATCTATATGTTAAGAATTTAAACGATCTAAATTTTAATATTTTTGAAGTAAAAAAATTAGGAATGTTACTAGTGTACTTACACTTAACAATACATTTTAAAATAAAATTGATAAAATTATATATAACAATCAGTTAAATTTTATTATTGTAATTTGGGGAATTTTATCACAAAAAATGATAATTTATAAATACAATTGCAAGAAAGTGATAATTTTGAATACACAAAATGTTATTTTGACAAAAAACATAATTATGCGTTGTTGCTACAAATGAGCAATGTATTATAAAAAAAACTAATTTAACGATATAATTAAACTATATTATTGTACTTCATGCTAAATTGCTAGGCATATGTTTACAGTTCAGAGGTTCAAGGAAATATGTTGTAATAGGCATTTTTGTCGATTATCATGCAGTGTATACTATGCCCCCTGCTCACATGATTTTATTCGAAACAATTACAAGCGTATGGCTTATATTTGATATTACTAGTAAATCTTGTAATAAAAACAAATAATGTAGTCATTTGTATTCAAATATATAAAATAATATTCAAGAGAAACGAATTGTAATATTAATTTGTTGTGAAAAAATATATGTAATTAATTATTTTTATAGAAAATTTTGGTCTCTTATAAAAGATATTCATAAATCTATATAAGTGAATATAGATTAATTTATCTAAAAACAAATATACTTTTTCAAGTATAATAATTGAATATTTGAATATAATTGTAAAATAAAAATTCAGAAGAAATCATTTTCTTATTACCAAATTAAAATATTTTAAAATTAAATTTAAAATACCATAAGTTAGAAAAATAAAATGCTTTATTTTATTCCATTCAGCTTACAGAAATCTGTAATAAAATTTTTATACAATAAATAACTTGCAAAATACTGCAGTGCTATTTTGATTCTTAACGTCGACAGTCCAATTATGGCATACGCGTTATAAATATGTGTCAACTAAAGTCATCAGTGAAGAGAAAATATAATTTTAGGGACATTTAAGCGGTGTAACAAACTTATGTGATATGTCCAAATAAATTTAACGGACAATAGTACAAAAAAAATATTCTCATAGTTTATTATTTCAAAAATTTAAAGTAGTCATTATAAGTACTAAGGAGAATAGACCTATAGATATAAAACTAGAAAACATTTTTTACAGGGAGTATAACTGTACATAAATCTGCAATACAGTTCTGACCTGTTGTCTACCTACAGGCAAGTTCAAAATAGTAAAATTGTACACACTAATTTAACTTTCCAAAGTGTTCCGTATATTTGATATCATTTATATCCATTTTAAATTTTATTAAAGTTAAAATAAAAAAAAACACCGACAATTTTTTATCTCGTTCATCCGTTGGTAAAATATCCCAATAAATTAGTATTTTAAAATCGAAAAATTTCGACATTTTTTATTATCCTTAGACTATCATGACGTTGAAAAGTAGATGAATCATAATTTATTTTTAATAGTTTAGGTATTTCCATTTCAATCGATAAAATTTTTTTTGAAAATCTGATACTATTTATGACAATGGGGGATTCAAAATAACAACTTCTCCAACTTAATTAAAAAATATTGTGCAAGTGTAAAAAATCACCGTTTTTTGAGTTATTATAATAACTCAAAAATGTAATAAGTTTAAATCTTAAAGTGGAAGAATCGAAGCAAGTTTTATTTTTATAAATACCCTTTTATGTACTATAAATTTTATATTATTAAAAAAACTGACTCATTACCTGCTTACAAGAGATTTTCAATTATTTAGTCTACATTTTATGTCAAACAGTATAGTCCTTTAAGTACAGGGGTAAGTGAACTATTCAACACCTTCTTTAAAAAAAAAAAAAAAGAAAAAATTATAAAAATAATTTAAGTGTTATAAATATTTCATGAAATATTTATAACAAAATTTTAAATATGCCACTGCTTCACTAATTTATACAATTATGATTATCAACCAGGTAAGAGCTGATTATTTTTCCATCATACATTTTAAATAAATATTTATTATTTTATTAGTCCTATTCTTTTTCAATAAAAATGATCTTTTGATGTATCATTGATAGAAATTGATCCAATGAGAACTGAGAAAATGTGAAATATGAAAAAAAAAATCATAATATAATTAATAATTTTTCAGCTTTGTATTGAAGCAAAAATTTAATTTCATTCATATATTTTTGGTTTTGATTCATGGATTAGATTCAATTTGTAATCTTTTCATGTATTTTTTAAAAAATCAGTCCACTAGGAGCTGAGGAAAAGTGGAGAAAGACAAAACAAAAAATTACATCATAGTCAAAAGTAAGAATTTAAATTTAAAACATTGGTGATATTTTACAAAATCATATGACAAAACAAATTCTACAAAGAATGATTTTTTAAAAAAATAACTTTAACAAATGGGTTCTTTCATATTACATAAAATAATTGCTTATAACATTATTACTTTAAAATTATTCAGTTTTGATATGAGGTAATTCAAATTTGACAAGTGGAGAAATAAAATCATAATTGTTAGTTAATCTTTTTATAATATTTGACTTTAACTCTAATCGTTGTTGAGCTGCATCTTCTACTGTATCGATTGGTAAATCAAAATTTGTATATTTATCTAAATAAACTCTACTAGATAAAAGTAATTTACCATATAATGGAATAACATCTGAAAAATGTACCAAATAGTAGTATTTAATAAATAGATAAGGCAAAATAAAAACATTAGATTTAACTCAATAAGCAAAAAAATTTATATAACAATAAAATTGTTTTAATTAGTTAGAAATTTTTATTGTAACTGTTGTAAGTTTTTTTTATGTAATTGGCAAAATAATATGATATTGATTTTATTTTTAATGTATAGTTGAAAGGCTATAGGTTTTACTCTGCTGTTTATTTTGTTTGATTATTCCTGCTCCTATTATACCGATTTTGCTTAACCATATATTAAAATATTACACAAAACGTAACTAGTTGAAATGTCATAATTTTTAGAAACTTTCTTTTGTGCTAGGAATACAGAAAAATGTCTCAAAAAATTACAGTTTTCATAAAACAATCAATGTTGTTATATACTCTTTTAAAACAGGACAAAATATTACAAATTTTTTATTGATAATACTTAAAATATTTGCTTTGCTGATGGCTTCCTTTTTTTTTTTTTTGAAAATAAAATTATAAGCCAAGGTTTTGAAGTATCTTAAAAATCATATTAAATTTGAAAATGAAAAATTATCCAAGATTTTGATTTTAAAGAGTTATAGTCATTAAAAATTATACAATTTTTGGTATGTTTAATGTTCAGATTTGACATAGTAATGAAACATCTATCCAATTGAAAGCTAAATTAAATTTAAGGTGTTTTAATATACTAAACGATTAAAAAAAGAAAAATATTTTTATAACTTGTCTTCTAAGAGTAATCCATCTAAACTTCCCTTTACTAGATTCCTATTTTACTTTTTAATTTTAAGTTAAATACATACTTAGTGACAATTGTTTTGTCTGATTAGATGGGGCAATAATTGTAATTTTAGTTTCTTCTTGACATCTTAAAGGTATAACATCAATTTTGTGAGATAATAAATTATTGCTTTTTAATACAGTCAAGTTGTCAAAATCAATAGTTTTTCCAATCATGTCTTCCATGTCAATCTGCCATAAAAGAAATTAATCAATTTTTTTTAATTACGGTTTCACACTCATTCTTTGAATTTTTTTTTTTTAGTTATGGTAATATTTATAGTAAAATTTTTAAACTATTATTTTATAGTAATAGCAAATATTTACAAGTTACTTACATCATCTCCTTGTAAAGTCCAAATTTCACATTCATCCAAATCTTCTGAAAATAATACACCATTCTCTCTAGTCAAGTTAGAAGTTTCTAAAGGCATTATCTAAAAAATTAAAAAAAAAAAATCATAAAATTTAAATAAATGTCTGAAAAGTATCATCAATTCTTACTAGTGATGATTACATTAAAAAATTAATAATTTATAAATATAAATAAAAATTAATTTTTAACAGATTATGACATGGTTCATTTAGAAAGATGTAAATTTTCTAAGCAAAAATATTCATTTAAAGTGAAAACAGATTATTTTTGCTCGTGTTTAAGTTAGCTTACTAATGAATCAGGGAGAAGCTCAGTCACAATGATTTTAAAAACAACAATGGGAATAAAAGTCTTACCAATGAAACATAAGGTAATTTTATAGTTAAGCTTTAAAATTACTAAAAAATTTAGTGTAAAATTTTGTTTACTACCTTCATAAAAAATTTAATTCAACCTAAAAATGACAGAAGTTTTCAAAAGAATTATTTTTGAAGTTTTTCTTATTAAAAAAAAATTTTTCTTAATTTTTTAAATATTAATGTATACAGAATTGTGTAACAAAGAGTTGAAGTCAAGATTTTATGAAGAGCTAAAGAAATCGTAGTGATAACATTTAGAATTAGGTGATATAGTTCAATGAATATATTTTGTATTTTGAGAGTTAAAGTTTCTATATCATTTCTTGATATATGTCATATCAAGACACTTGTACTATAAATTGGTTGACATCAAGAAAGACTAATGAAAATTTTTCTTTAATTACCAATGATATTGGGTTGTTTTAGTTTATTATGATATATCTAATATATTTTTTTGCATGACATAACTTCATTAATCTAACAATTAAACATATAACGACTTACGTTAACTGTAGATTGTTCATTAGATATGTTCAATATACTCATCATTGAATCATCAGAGTCAAAATCGTCCGATTCATATCTATTACCATATGCTAAACTTTTAGATATAGATCTATCTGAAGTCACACTTAGAACATCACTAGATGAACTTTTGAACTTTTTTTGTGATGGACTTGATGAAGTCATTCGTTTTTTACGTTTGATAATACCACTAATTCTGGTCATCGAATATATTGAATCAATATCCATTTTTAATATTTAAAAATATTAGCAACAATAGTTAAATATACAAATTAGAGAAGTAACTAACTAATGTAGAGTTTAATTTTTTTTGATTGTACTATATTATTAGTAATAGTTGTTTCCTAAAAAAAAAAAATAAAAAATTTTTTTCTTAATCAATGTTTTTATAAATTGAAAATTACCTTGTATTGTTTAAATAATTACTTAAATAAGCAAACCTTTGCAAACCAACTTTGAAAACTGCAATCACAGATTTAAATATTAAATCAATCGTAATTGCAAAGATTATATGAAAATTGTTCTTAAAATCTGTGGTAGTAGTTATAAACCACAGAACCTTACACTTAGTATAAGCACAGATATTTGTCTCATTTGTGGTATAAGGTTTACTATACTCAGATATAGATAATGAACTAGATTGCAACAGGTTTACATTGCTTGTGTTAACCGGTGAAACTAAACAGCCGCCATATTTTTTGAAGACACTTTTTTTTCTTGTAGTTCATGAACAAATTATTTTAATATCGAAGTGAAAGACTTATTGATAACAAACATGTTTGTGTACAAAGTGTAAGAAGTGAAATATTTGGCCTTATGTTTAAGTCTTCTTATCTATTCAGCGATTACAAGACGTTACTTATGATAAGCCACAGTACAACCACTTATTAAAGTAAAAATCTCGGATAGTTGTTTGATAGCAACACAACTGATGAAGTTACTTTTCCGTTATTTCCTCCGCCATAATTCACAACTGATGACCGGCTGTTTGCAGCTTGTTTCATTAAAGTCCATGATATTTTGATTATAAAATCTCTAACGGAGCACGTTTCATTTTTAACTAATTTCAATTTTTCATATTATACAATCGAACGAACATTACCTAAATGTTAATATTTTACTAGCAATTAAACTTTAAAGTGTTTTAATACTGACGTATGTTTCTCTTAATAATTATCAAGATTTAAGATTTCCTAGTTTACAAATAGCTGAAACGTCAGTATTTAAAACATTTGTAAAAAGGTAATGTAATATTTTGTGTCATTTTACACATTTAATTTATTTTTTAATTTCACACACTTTTTTGGTTAAAAATTTATGTATAACTGTGTAATCAAATATGAATTCTTGTTGGAATTTGGCGCGCAATTTATATTCAATACGTAATTTTGAATGTCAACCGTTTTACTTGGATACATTTTACTTCAAAATCAATTATTTAATTTTAATTTCATTGTGTAGTTCATGTTTAAGATATTTTTTGGTTATACCTTAATGATTTAATAAAAAAAAATTATATGTTCTGTTTTGAAGAATAGTCAATTTTCCCAACGAAGTAATAACTAACCTTTTTAGAAATTGCTTTTTATTTAATAATGAGAAAATAAACTAAAAATTTTTTTTCAAAAACAAATTTAATTTATAATTGAATATAGCTATAAATGACTTATTTTTGTATGTAATAAAAGTCTGTGTCATATTATTCTATCTAAAATTAAATGAAGAATGCTGGGTTAAAATTCTACTCGTGAACCATATGTTGGTTCTCAATGTTTTTTTCTTATTAACCCCACATATTTTCATTTAATTATTTTACTATCTGAATGCAAAGATATATATTTTATATAATACAATAGTTTTTTTCATACAATAACTGTAGTTTGAGTATTATCTTTTTGTTTTTTCTGTGGGTATTTCTTTAATGTGACTTAAAAAAATTCATAAGAATCTCTAATAGAAATTATTTAATTTAAATGAATGTAACTTATATAAAAATTAAGTATTTTTATTCATTTTATTGTATAAATTACACAAAAATAAATTGAGTTATATTATTTTTGTCAAAAAGCGATATATACTGAAAATTAAAAATAACTTAAAAGATAACACCTATTAAGAAAATAATAGTAATTATTGCTAAAAATGGTTTTTTGAAAATGTAGTTTTATACTAATAACTTTAAAAATCGAATCAACAAAATTCTATCAGAAACCAACAATGCTATCTAGAATTTTTGCCGAATAAAGGATATTATTATGCCTTATCTTATTTTGAGTTAGGTCATTATTGTTCTCAGCAGATGAAATGTTATGGTGTATCTAGATTTATATCTTATCCTTTATGTTAGATGATTAAATTTTTTTATTAGATTATTTGGATTTTTATTTACTATGTCCCTCTTGAAAAAAACAAAAAAATTGACTCTTTTTAATGCTATTGGGAAAAAAAATATTATTTCTATTTTATTCGTCTTTTTTAATGATAAAATAACATTTCAAAAAGCTCAAACTTGACTTTCAGTTATATTTTTGTAGAATCCAGATTTTTAGAAAATAAGTATATGTAACTTGTTCTTATATTATAATTAACATAGTATTCTATTGTTTAAAATATTTTTTAATTACTTTCAGAAATTTCTCACAATGGCTGGAAAAAAGAAACCAACGTCTAAAGTCTCAAAGTCAGTTAAAAATATAAATAAACAAGAAGAACTAGATATTCTTAATAAATCTCCAGAAATCAACAAGTATGTACATATATATATATGGTCTATCATCATTGAATGTATAGACTCTTAAATGTTTTAGTTATACAAAGATTAAAATATAATTAGATTTTAATTATAAATTAATAATATATTTATATATTATGTATATAAGGGAATTGATAAACTATATATCACAAATATCATTAAAAGTATAAAACAATATAATTTTCAGATAATTTAGTATTATCCTATATTTTATAATTTACAAAAAAAAAATTGATCCTATCTTCTTTTTAAAATAGTAATATTTAAGTTTTAGCTTCGATGCAAAGCTGAGAAGGTATTAATTTTACCATGATGTGTTTATTTTTTTTTTTTTTTNAAAACATGTGTTTAATACGTTTAAAAATAGGAAAATAATTGATGTGTAAATAACATTGAACCAGTATTTTAAAAGATATTATTAGCTTTGATACGAAGCTGAGAAGGTATTAATTTTACCATGATGTATTTATTTATTTATTTATTTTGTGTCACACTACTTTTTCTCAGCTCTCACTGGACCGATTTCTTTCAACAATACGTCAAAAGATCACAAATCGTATCTAGTTGAAAACATTACCCTTAAAAATTTAATATAATTTAATTAAAATAGAATAAAGTTCATAAGAAATTAAACTTATTAAATTTTTTTTACTTTTTTAAAGTCGAAAAAGTAATTTTTAAATTTGAGTTAGCTTAAATAGCCATTTATTGAGCTTCGATGAGAATTTTTTATAAGTAAATACTAATTTTTAATAATATTAAAACTTAGAAGTGATAGTAAAAGTCTACTTGCAGATTTGAAAACAATGCGAAAAGTTGATTTAGAAAAGTATATTTTTGTTTCTGATGAAAGTTCCTTGTAGTCCAGTGCATTTTATTATAGTAACAAACAGTTTTTATTGAAAATTATTGTGTCAAGCCCTTTAAATTTTTATACACGTAAAAGTAAAGCAAAATGTAACTTCTTTATTATTTTTATAATTTCTCCGTTTAAATTACAATATTAAATTATTGAATATCAATTTCATACTAAATTTAATAATTATAATTAGTATTTATTCATATATTATATTTTAAAATCAAAGAACTACTAATNATTCATATATTATATTTTAAAATCAAAGAACTAGTAAATAGGATATAATCAAAGAAATAAGAGTTGATGTTGCTTTTGGAATAATCCACCAATTTCTCTAAATGAAACACTATTTACAGATTTGCATCGAAGCGTTTCTTATGATAGTGATTTTAATCACTGTCAGATATCATCTATACTTGTCCCATCTATGCCTCGTCCACACTGTGCCGCAACCCCACTGTGCTACCGTTTTTTTTTCAAATAGTATAATCTTATCAAGATCTAGCCCTATAATCAGTTTAAGTTCAGATAAAAATAATTTTTTCTTATTTATTTTTCTTATTATTATTTTTTATNAGTATTTTAAAAGATATTATTAGCTTTGATACGAAGCTGAGAAGGTATTAATTTTACCATGATGTATTTATTTATTTATTTATTTTGTGTCACACTACTTTTTCTCAGCTCTCACTGGACCGATTTCTTTCAACAATACGTCAAAAGATCACAAATCGTATCTAGTTGAAGATATTACCCTTAAAAATTGAAAAAAAATTTCCCTCGTTCCCTGTAAATTGGGGGAAACCTCCAAATAAATTACAAATTTAAAAATCGCTAATTTTCGAAATTTTTTCAATTTTTTTTACTTAAAACTGCCATAACTTTTTCAAAAATAAACATATCAATATAACTCCTTTTTATATAGATGCATAATATCATTACCTTTCATNCTATAAATACTGATACTTATATATATATCTTAAATTAAAGCTAATGTAATATATTTTATTATGGAAAAAAAAATTTTTGGACTTTATTTTGTCTTCATGGTGAAAATGGCTACTGAATGCTATTATTGTGTGAAAATTCTCGGTTTTATTTTTAAAATTTTTAAATTTATAATATAACTATTGAAAAGTGTATGGATCAACACAATTTTTTTATGAGAAATAATATTTTTTAATAATCCCTTATCATTCGACATACTTTATCTTAATCAGGATATTAATAAGGAACTAGCAGATTATGTAGCTTTTAGAATAATCCACCAATTTTTTAAAATTAAATACTATCTAAAGATTTGCATCGAAGCGTTTTTTTTTTTATAGTGATTTTAATCACTGTCAGATATCATTATACTTGATCCAACTATGCCACGTCACCACTGTGTCGCGACCCCCCTGTGCTGGGTTTTTATTATAGTGATTTTTATCAATGATATTATATAACCAATAAATGTGTGCTATGACAGAACCCCAATTTTTCAAGGTTCTGACTAATTATTTTTATTTTCCTGTTTTTGCACCAACATTTATTATATATACATGCTTATTAAATTATTTAGTTAATTAAAAAATAAAGGTGCCCTCTAAAATATTTTAACTAATACTTAATTAAAAAAAAATCTTTTGCATAGAAGTAGTGAAGGAAAAGATGGTAAAAATGATGCAATAGAAAATTTACTTAAAGTTACAAAATCTAAACAAAAACAATTGCCAAATGAAGCAATTTCTGGTATGTATAATTTATACTAAAATAATCTTATTTTAATATTTTGATTTAAGGTGTAAAATATATATGATAATACAAATTACAACAGTGATCACAGTGTCCCTATAAACAGTGCCGCCACTGTTATACATATATTTTTTTTATTTAATTTAATTATTAGATGGTGTTGTTAAAAATGAGAAAATTAATAGACAACATAAGCATGAAGTCGATTATAAGGCTAAACCTACCACATCTACAAGTAAATTTAAAAATAAAGTGATAGATATTTTCTATTAAAAAATTCATATATGTATATTTTTACCTTAATAGGTTTAAAAGCAAAAATTGGACCGAAAAGGAAAGCTTCCCTTGATCAAGTACCTGAAGCAAAGAAAAAAAAATCTGATAAGGCATCTGGAATAATTGGTGAATATTTTAATAATTTTAAAATTTTATATTGAATTTTAAGTTATTGAATTTGAATTTATTATAGCAATAGATAATCGAACTGAAACTCCTGGTATTGTAATGATTAAAGGGAGAGACATTGTTATTGGAGGGTTATTCGGATTGGGTCCAGATAGAGAACAACTCACCAATCTTACTGAATTAAAAAATTTAAAGTTTAAATTAATATCAGCTGGAAGTATGCATGTCTTAGGTGTAACTGACGATGGAAAAGTATTAAAAAAAAAAAAAAAATTTTAGTCAACATTTATTAATTTTTCATTTATTATTTTAGCTTATGTCATGGGGTTGTAATGATGAAGGTGCACTAGGACGAGATACTTCTGTTGAAGACAGTGAAACAAGACCTGGTATTGTTCACATATTTGAAGAAAACTCAGAAATCTATAGTATATCAGCTGGAGGATCTCATTCTGCAATACTTTTTAGTAATGGAAATGTGTATGCATGGGGAACTTTTAGAGTAATTTTAAATATCAATATTTATATAGCGCTAAGTTTCAATAGGGTAGTAGGCATTTTAGAAGGTTTAACCTATATAAAGTGAAAGTAAATTTGATTCTTATAGTTTTTTCACGATCATTTTAGATTTATGTAAAGCTGAGAAGGAATTAATTTTACTATGATGTGTTTTATTATTATTATTTTTGTGTGTTACCACTTTTTCTCAGCTCTCACCGAACCGATTTCTTTCAATGATACGTCAAAAGATCACAAATCGTATCTAGTCGAAGACATTACCCTCAAAAATTGAAAAAAATTCCCTCGTTCTCCGTAAATGGGGGAAACCTCCAAAAAAATTACAAATTTAAAAATCGCTAATTTTCGAATTTTTTTCAATTTTTTTACTAAAAACTGCCGTAACTTTTTCAAAAATGAACATATCAATATAATTTTTTTTTATAGATGCTTGATGTCTTTACCTATCATTTGGTATGTTTTTTTCATAATTTTAACCCTTTATCTGCCTACGGAGGGATTTAAAATGACAACTTTTTCACAAAAAATTAATTTTTTGAAGTGTTCCGGAAGGTCTTACACTTTTATATATATCTTAAATTAAAGCTATAGTAATGTACTTTAATATTAAAAAAAAAAATTTTGGACGTTATTTTGTCTTCACAATGAAAATGGCTACAAATGCTATTATTGTGTGAAAATTCTCAATTTTATTTTTAAAATTTTTAACTTTATAATGCTATAACTTATTGAAAAGTGTATGGATCAATACAATTTTTTTATGAGAATATTTATATATCTCTTTCATTTGACATACTTTATCTTAATCAGGATATAAATAAGAAAATAAGAGATCATGTTGCTTTTGAAATAATCCACCAATTTTTTAAAATTAAACACTATAACAAATTTGCTTCAAATCGTTTTTTATTTTAATCACTGACAGATCAAGGTTATTATAGACCCAACTATGCCACGTCCCCACTGTGCTGGGGTTATGTGATTGATATGTGATCAGGAACTTAAATATATATTTATATATAGAGTGTTCACTAAAGCTATGGTTTCCTAGAAAAGCGGTGCCGTTATCTAGCGGCCGTAATATAGCGTTGGGTGACATTTTCTATAAATAACATCGGAGTAGGTTTCCTAGAGTACGTTGAGTGTCACCGTAACGTCAAATAGCGGTGCTGTCAGTTGCATGACGGCCGTCATAGCGGTGATAAACAAAAGTTTAACGTTTTTCCCGTGTAGCGGTGTGCATTTTTAAATTATACAATGAGTGGAAACGTGATTTGGACGAGCGAAAATGATGAACAATTAATTGATTTTGTCAAAACTATAGCTTAATTAACACTATTACTCCTATTTAAGTTATCTATTACCATAAAAATGCAAAAAAATATAGAGCTTTTCTGATAAATTTACAATAAATAGTAATTATAAAACTTTCTGACTGCATATTGATCTTAACTATACAATTTTTTTAATTGTCATAAAATTTTCTATTTAATGATTCATTCTAGTCAACGAAGGAGTAATTTTGGAGAATAGCAGAAAAAATTCCCAACCAATTTTTTTTTTTTTTTAAAGTAGGCAATTGGTGGATTATTCCAAAAGCAACATCAACCCAACCCTCAGTTTCACGATTTTTGAACATAACACTCTCCTCCAAACGATTGTTTTCGTCTTCTGATGACTCTTCATCATCCAAACATACTAATAACGCTATGTCCAAATCGTCCATTTTTCACCAATGCGCGATCAACTACTCTCGAGTGAGTAGCGACTACGATTGAATACGGTCGCACTACTTCCTAGGAAACCACAGATTGGTCACCGTAAGACGGCCGTTATTAACAACCGTAAAATGACGGCCGCTAGATAACGGCACCGCTTTTCTAGGAAACCATAGCTTAAGTAAGGAAACAGGTAAATTGTTACAAACAATGAGAACAATAGAAACCAGTTTTCTTACTTAGTGAACACTAAAATTACTATTAACAATAAATGTATGAGGAAAGCTTAAAATGTTTTTTTATATAATAAATAACAAATTATTATTTTTAAAATTATTTTTTGTTGGTATTGTACTATATTATAGGACAAAAATGGTGATATGGGTTTTCACCCAAATGGTCAAAGGCAACTAACTCCTAAATTTGTCATGGGTAATGTTAGAAAAATTGCTTCAGGAATTAATCATTTAGTCATGCTATCAAAAAATAAAGTTTACACCATGGGTTGTGGAGATGAAGGGCAATTAGGTAGAATATGCCAGAGACATTCTAACAGAGAGTCAAGAGTTGGAAAACGTAAGACATTTTTTGATGGTTAATTATGTTTTTCTATTTAATAATTTTTTATTTTACAGAATTACTTTTAATACCTCAATTGTTAAGTTTACGCAAAAAAGTTGAAGATATTTGGGCAAACTATGATACTACATTTTTGCGTGTCTCAGATTCTACTGTTTATTCATTTGGACTTAATGCATATGGCCAGTTGGGTATTGAAAATGATGAAAGATGTGTTTACTTCCCTAAATTATCCCAATCTCTTAGTCGTTTAAAAATTAAGTCTATATCAGCAGGAACCCAACATGTTACTTTATTGGATGAACAAGGTTTAATATTAATATTCATTAAGTAGTATTAATTTATATGTATAAAAATTTGTATACAATAAAATATTAATAGAAATGGTGTATAAATTTAGGAGCTGTCTATGTTTTGGGTGATTATAGAGATGGTCGCTTAGGAATGGATGTTGCTGAAAATCAAAAAGTTCCTAAAGTACTACCATCATTACCTCAAGTTAAAATTGCAACATGTGGCTCAGATAATAACTTTGTTATTACAGAAAATAGTAAGATAAAAATTATTTTTCCTCGCCTTGATCTCGTCGGCTACCCTTATCCTAAATTCCACTTGAAAATTTTTATGATGAATGTTTTCAGATAAATTAATGGCTTGGGGTATTGGTTTTGAAGAAAAAGATGATACTGATGTTATTTATTATGCACCCACAGACATAGATGCTGCTAATAAGTTAGACCAAAAGACTGTTGTTCAAGCAACATCTTCTGATACTGCTGTATTTCTTTTATTAAAAGATTAACATTAAGACTTTAATTTTTTTTATATATACAAAATATTTTTCTGGTAAATAATTCCCCTGTTTTTATATAATTTGTACACATTTTGAAAAAAATAACATGAACAAAGTATTATTTGTTCCATTTGTATTAGAATTTATTTCTTCCTTTTTTTTTTTTTTTTT